TAGCCCTGTCTGCCCACACCCTCTCTCAAACAAGATAACAGCTACTGGGGAAAGGCAAAGCTGGTATTTCTGCTATGGAGCTCAAAGCAAGCTATGGGTTAGGGCAAGCTAGTCAGAGTTAGAAATCTCCACGTGTCTTACCTGGGAGCCTAATGAACAATCAGTCTCTGAAAGATCCTTCTCCCTCCCCTAGGGTTTGAATTCAGGCTCTTTCTTGTGCTATTGTTCAGATATAAACAAGGCTTTATGCTGGGAGTAGGGATCACTGTCTACCTGCCCCACCTCCCAATAAAGCTCTACAGCTCCTCTGTGAATGCTGACTAGATACACACATACCTTGCTTTCCTTCCTATCAGAAGATGGGCCTTCTCTTGAGCTGGAAGCCTCAGACAGAACCTGCAAAGTGAACAAGGAGTTTGAAAGATACTCTCTTGACCCCTCAGGCAGATTATGTTCTGTGCAGAACAGGCAGCAGTACCAGGAGGGGCACAACTGGACTGAAGATTTGTGGCTTCCTCTAGTTCTGAAGTGCCTAGCGCAAAGGGGTCCAGCGAAAGAAGAAGTCCACGTAATGAGACAGTGTGCATTCTTTTCAGGTGTTTGAGGCACTGCAGGAGCTGGTGTCTAAGGGCCAGGAGAACGGTCATCCTGTGCAGCTGAAGGCAGAGCTTCGCGCAAGGAACGCTAACAAATCACATGAACATGGTAAGAGATTTCTAAAAGCAGTTGTTTAAAGTTGCCCCATGTGCTTTTCTTTTCCCCCCTTCCTGTGTTCTTGCTTGTACAAGCCACTGAGACATGAGCATGAGGTACTTGCCTCATCTCTTCACCGGCAGTCAGTATATAGTGCAAGAAGGGGCCCTGGTGTGTGTGAAGCTGCTTCCAGACATGGCAAAGCAGGGATGAGACATTTGGGCTCTCCATGAATAGTGTCCCTGAGAAAGTTTTACAGGAAGAGACTACCCTCTCTCTCTCAAGTTTTAACAAGTGTAAGGTTCGTTAGCCACATAAGTTTCAATCAAAGGGGAACCTGGCCTTGAGTTCACAAAGGAAAAGCTGCAGTTCCTGGCCTAGCACATTAGCTGTGACACTGTGATGCTGGTAGAAGGTTCTTGGAGACATGCAACCTTATCCAAGAGCCTGTCCTTTTGGACTAAATCTTCCTGCGGTCGTTTTCATGCCTTCCAGAAGTATTTACTGAAAATAGTTCCTGGAAGCAATGAAAATGTGCTATGTTTAAAATCAGCATGAAATGCGAATGTGTGGTGAAATGTACAGCTCAGAAGTGGAGCTGTACAGGCTCCAGTTCAACTCTGCAGAACTGAAAAGGCTCCATCTACTGGCAAAAGGGAAGATCCTGTGCAAGGGCCCTTTCTGCAAAGCCAATCCAGCTGCTGCTGGCAAAGCGATCTCTTTTTATGAAGTCAGACTTGTGACTGAGTTTGGATAGGGCTCAGATGGCTACGGAGGAAAGTGGCTTCCCTGATAAGAGCTTTCTTATTCAAATCACATCTTATGAGCCACACGTTCTGAAACTAAAAGGGAGATTGTTCACTGCATACTGAGCTGAACCAGTTTCCCAAGGCAAAGAATGCAAATTCTCCTTGTTTTGTGCACCTCTAGAGAGTGAAGCTTAGAGCAACTTCTTCAGGCAGAGTAGCAGAACTTCTCTGCAAATGTTTGCTGCTCTTTTCTCAATAAACCCATACAGGTAGGATTTTCTAAAAAGCTCAGTGTTGGGTGAGAAGTCCCATTCTAAAATTGCTCTAAGACAATTATTTGTCTGCAGTGTTAAGGACTACCCGTTAAAGTCGTAAAATGTCTAACTGATTAAATCATGGGGAGTTAGGGGACAAAATGCCTTTAAAATTCTGGTTTAACCATTTAACTGTCTTCTGGACACATCAGAGGTTTGAAGGAGTCTCTTCAGGATCTGGGCAGGGTATTTATAGGCCAGTAAGGAGACAAGGGAAGATGCCAGTATTCAAGTACAAGCAGAGGTGTTGTGAGCCCTTGGGATTCCCAGGTCAAGTCTGCTGCTTCCCTTCTTCGCCTGCTCTGACAGAGCAGAATCTGCTGTCGCTCTTTCCCCAGCCTCACTGGGCTCTGGGATCTCTCCTTTTCCCCGTAACAACTGCGCCAGGGTCAGCTCCATCACTGTGGAGGGCTAGCATGGCATACTGGCAGCCTCTTGCCTCATCCTGATCTCACCCACTTTTTTTCTATTTAATCTAGGTCCAGGGCCTGGGAAAGAAAGAGAGAAGACAAATATGAGACACACAGAAATGCTACCCACCACTCCCCTTGTGCGGTGGATCCTTGCACTCAGCTTCCTAGCCACAACAGTCGCCGTGGGCTTATTTGCCATGTGAACAAATAGAACCGTCACCTTCTCTTCATGCCTTCCCTCACCCTGAACTAATCCATCTTCCCCAGGCCTTCTGAGAGAAATTCTCCTTGGCTGGGTGCTGTGATCTTGGCTCTGTCACTAACATTAGGAGGCTTCTCTCCCCAGAAAGCAAAGAGAGTGCTAAGGGGGTTCAGGCAAAGTCTCTCCTGTGCTTGGTGTGAGCTATGCCAGAGACTAAATTTATCACCAGAACATAAGGGCAGAAAAGGCCTAAAAGCAGTGGCCAGGAATTGTCATTGTTTTATAGAACTCCTGCAAAAATCCTACAAAATCAGAAACGCAGGTTTGACATCATGTTTTGCCTCAGAAAGAAAAAGCTCCCCGGAGCCCTGTTTGCTCAATATTTTATATGGCTAGCTGATACTGTGATCACTATTTCTGTGGAGCCACATGGTTCCTCTGGGTTATAGACTGTTTTATATGACACTAGTAGGTTAAATCTTTTTCCAATCACTTTTGGTTTTTAAAAAGCAGAACACAGTTGTTGAAGATACAGTGTTGATCTTTTGTCTTGTTATATAATTTATATATATATATAAAAGAAACATTAACGTAAAATCTTCAGGCCTGGTGTTTCCTATTGTTAAAGCCATATCCAGGGAGAATGGAGGTGCCTTTCTGCCTCTCAATTTTATGTCTGTTGGAGCTGCTGCCTCCACAGATATGACAATAGACAAAAGTGGGAGTTACCAGAACCAGACTCTGTTCCCACTCTGTTCTAACAATAACTTGTTGTACAAGCTCAGTCAGGTTTCTTAAGCTTCATAATGGTCTCTATTTCCAGAAATTGAATGAAATTCTGTGACTGTACAAAGTATCTTTAAGAGGTAGAAGCTAGACCTAAGAGTTAGCTGCTATTCTATTAAAAGGAAAAAGGTGACTGGGCTCCTGGCTGGTCTAAACTAGGGCTGTTGCCCCTGCCCTGTAGCAGCTAAGGGCCAGGTGCTGTTAATCATAGTGCCTTTCTGAGAACATCACCATGAACCAGAAAAAGAAGTATGTTCTCACCCCTCACAAACAAAATACATACTAGCTTTTCATCCTACAAGACATCAAAACCAGAGACATCAAGCATGTAACTGCATGTCCTCAACTAGGTAACAATCAAACCAAGCCAGCTTACTGCCAGAATTTGGCATGTACAAGGAGTTCCTAAAGACAGTACAAATAAGTAGCAGTGCTGGAGCAGTCCATGTGTACAGCTTTCTGTTTTCCCCTTTTGCTCACTCAAAACTGGAGGTGCGGCCAGCTGCTGTTATGGCCATAGGCCTTATCTGCTTATGAAGGTCTTCTAATACAGAAGTTAACTGCAGGAGCGGCTGCATCTTGAGTGTAACAGAGCAGATACTGACAAGGCCATTACCTTTCAGCTCAGAGTCCCTTCCCCCCTTTCTACCTGAGGAGCCTCTGTGATCAACCTGTCTTCATGATGCTGCCTGTTCTGGCTGTAGCCTTAATCCCAAAGGCATTTATTGCTACTGATCTGTATTAATGATCAGCACTTAACCTACTCAAAGAGCAAGAATCAGAAGGCAGGTCCTACAGAGAATAAACAGTGAGAAAGAGAGACTGTCATTATCATCAGGCTCTTGTCTATCCTATTTTTCTTGTAAAATCTCTTTTAATGCTTCTCTATTTGGACCCATTCACCGATCCCCAGAAAAAGAGAAAACAAGTTAATTGTTAAAAAGAGAGTCAAATGTGTGAAAAGCAGGGATATTAGGCTTGACAGCTATTCAAATCCTATAACTCATTTCATTCGTTCAAATTTATTTTAAGTTCCACCTACTCAGTCTCTCTAAGCCACCCCAACTAAATCATTATGTTCATTCAACCATGCTGAATAAATAAACCTCCCAAACATGCAAACAAATGCCCAAGAGCTCAGAAAATGCACTCTAGCACAATCAGCCCCCCGCTCTGCTGCCCTCAGAGACCATAGCTGTGACCTCAAAGTTAAGAAACTTGGATTCAAACTGACACCATCCCCCTTCCTGTTCATAGCAGAAGAGTATCATGCTCTGAGTTATCTCACAGCCACTGCAGTACCACACACAGAAGGATGCCAGACTGAGCTAAAGCAAGTCTTCAGAGGTGAACGCTAAAACTTTGCTTTGTACTAATCTATAAGCTCTATGAAAATATCTGGCTTCCCTACAACATAGCTACAGCTGACAAGATTTCCACCCGGTGCTGTTAAAATCTCCCTTGCAACACACTATGCTTCCCAGCTCTGGTTTTCATTTGATATGTGCAGTACCCCACTTTCTAGGAGCTATAATGGTTTCCCAATGACAAGTCAGCTTTCCCCAAAAATTCAGTAGTAGTTAGCAGAAAAACATCCCAGAGGAAACGTATCCTAAAAAAACAGTCTGTTTATATGCGTATTTGGCTTGCTGTGTAAGTACTGTCTTCCCTATGGGACTCTGGGCAGTCCAACCACCTGCCATTCCCTTTTCCAGTATGTCCCAAAGCAAGGATGACTCCTTGCCAAATGGAGTGACTTGGACATGACTCATGTCCAAAGCACATGACCCCTCCCTTCCCCTCCCCTCCCCTCTCTCCCTTTTATGGACCTGTCACCTGAACTAAGGACTAGCCCTCATCCCCCTGTCCCGATGTCAGAGCTCGAGGGCAGGTTGCATCCCAGAAGAGCTGCCCCAAAAGGCAGGAGCACAAAAACAAATCTGGCCCATACAATCTTTGCAGAAAGGGCTCTGAACGCGCTCGGAGGCACCTCTCGCGGCTCAGTAGAGTGCTCCTCATCTGGCCTATGGTACCTGTCACTTCAGAACTGCAAAACAGTTGGGGCTGGCAGGAACCGTCTGGTCCAGCCCCCTGCTGAAGCAGGGTCACCTACAGCAGGTTACCCAGGACCGTGTCCAGCTGGTTTTGAGTATCTCCAAGGACGGAGACTCCACAGCCTCTCTGGGCAAATTAGCATTGATTAAACATTGTATGAATGCTAACTAATCCCCGCAGATCTCTGTTATCCCCACTCTGCGGGCGTCAGAGGTGACCCCAGCGCTGCCCAAGGACACTAAAGGCTGCTACTGACCCGATGGGCTTCAGAGGCAGCTGTAGCCCCATTAAACTGCACCCCCCTCCATGTTTGGGGGGGGGGTTGGCCCGGGGCCAACACCTGGAGCGCCAAGCAGGGTGAAGAGCTGCCAGGCCCTCAGCTGAACACCTCCTGCCAACGCCTGTCAGCAACGAGCATCTAGGCAGGCAGGAAGGCTAGACAACCCAAGGTTTTCCCTGCCTCCGCCTCCAGCCTTGCGATAATCGCCGCTTTATTTTATTCGTGTCCATTAACGTCGTCA